TGGTGTTACGTGGTGGGAAATTGCTGTGGTGTATACGTGTTTGAGGGAATGTTGCGATCTGGTGTTACGTGTGTGGGAATGCAATCTGGTGCTATGTGCGTGTGGGCATTGTTGCGATCTGGTGTTACGTGTGTGGGAAATGCAATCTGGTGCTATGTGTGGGAAATGTTGCAATCAATGGTGTTTTGCAATCTGGTGAAAGTGTGGAAATGTTGCAATCTGGTGTTACGTGTGTGGGAAATGTTGCGATCTGTTGTGTTGTGTGGAAATGTTGCAATCTGGTGTTAGGGAAATGTTGCGATCTGGTGTTAACGTGTGTGGGAAATGTTGCAATCTGGTGTTTGTGTGGGAAATGTTGCAATCTGGTGTTATGTGTGGGAATGTTGCAATCTGTTTTATGTGTGGGAATGTTGCAATCTGGTGTTACGTGTGTGGGAAATGTTGCATCTGGTGTTACGTGTGGTGGGAAATGTTGCGATTGTGAGTTACGTGTGTGGTGGAAATGTTGCAATCTGGTGTTACGTGTGTGGGAAATGTTGCGATCTGGTGTTACGTGTGGAAATGTTGCAATCTGTGACGTGTTGTGGAAATGTTTCAATCTGGTGTTACGTGTGTGGGAATGGCATGTTTGCAATCTGGTGTTTACGTGTGTGGGAAATGTTAATCTGGTGTTATGTGTGTGGGAAATGTTGCAATCTGGTGTTACGTGTGTGGGGAAATGTTGAAATCTGTGTTACGTGTGTGGAATGTTTCAAATCTGGTGTGTTACGTGGTGGGTAATGTTGCGAATGTGTTCAATCGTGTGTGTGGGAATGTTTCGATTGGTGTTACTGTGTGTGGGAAATGTTTCAATCTGGTGTTACGTGTTGTGGAATGTTGCAATCTGGTGCTACGTGTGTGGGAAATGTTGCAATCTGGTGTTTCGTAGTGGGAATCTGTGTTGAATCAATCTGGTGTTACGTGTGTGGGAAATGTTCAATCTGGTGTTACGTGTGTGGAAATGTTTGCAATCTGGTGTTACGTGTGTGGGAAATGTTTCAATCTGGTGTTTACGTAGTGTGGAAATGTTCAATCTGGTGTTACGTGTGTGGGAAATGTGTTCGTGAATCTGGTGTTACGTGTGTGGGAAATGTTTCGAAGTGTGTGGGAAATGTTTCAATCTGGTGTTACGTGTGTGGGAAATGTTTCAATCTGGTGTTACGTGTGTGGGAAATGTTTTCGATCTGGTGTTACGTGTGTGGGAAACTGTTTCAATCTGTGTTTACGTGTGTGGGAATGTTGCAATTCTGGTGTTACGTTGTGAGTGGGAAATGTTGCAATCTGGAGTTACGTGTGTGGGAAATGTCTGCAATCTGGTGTTTGTTGGTGTGGAAAATGTTTCAATCTGGAGTTACGTGTGTGGAAATGTTGCGATCTGGGTTCGTGTTATCTGGTGGGTGGGAAATGTTTCAATCTGGAGTTACGTGAGTGGAAATGTTATCTGGAGTTGTGGTGGGAAAATCTGGTGTTACGTGAGTGGGAAAAATCTGGTGTTCGTGTGTGGGAATGTTGCAATCTGGGTTACGTGTGTGGGAAATGTTGCAATCTGGAGTTACGTTGTGGGAAATGTTGCGATACTGGAGTTACGTGAGGGAATGTTGCAATCTGGGTTACGTGAAATGTTGCAATCTGGTGTTACGTGTGTGGGAAATGTGCGTGGAGTTACGTGTGTGGAAATGTTGTGGAGTTACGTGTGTGGGAAATGTTGCGATCTGGTGTTACGTGTGTGGGAAATGTTTCAATCTGGAGTTACGTGTGTGGGAAATGTTGCAATCTGGGTTACGTGAGTGGGAAATGTTGCAATCTGGAGTTACGTGAGTGGGAAATGTTTCAATCTGGTGTTACGTGAGTGGGAAATGTTGCAATCTGGGTTACGTGTGTGGAAATGTTTCAATCTGGAGTTACGTGAGTGGGAAATGTTGCAATCTGGAGTTACGTGGGTGGGAAATGTTGCAATCTGGAGTTACGTGTGTGGGAAATGTTGCATCTGGGTTACGTGTGTGGGAAATGTTGCAATCTGGAGTTACGTGTGTGGGAAATGTTGCAATCTGGTGTTACGTGTGTGTGGGAAATGTTGCAATCTGGTGTTATGTGTGTGGGAAATGTTGCAATCTGGTGTTACGTGTGTGGGAAATGTTTCAATCTGGTGTTACGTGTGTGGGAAATGTTTCAATCTGGAGTTACGTGTGTGGGAAATGTTGCAATCTGGTGTTACGTGTGTGGGAAATGTTGCAATCTGTTACGTGTGGTGGGAAACGTGTGTGGGAAATGTTGCAATCTGGTGTTACGTGTGTGGGAAATGTTGCAATCTGGTGTTACGTGAGTGGGAAATGTTTCAATCTGGTGTTACGTGTGTGGGAAATGTTGCAATCTGGAGTTACGTGTGTGGGAAATGTTATCTGGAGTTACGTGAGTGGGAAATGTTGCAATCTGGTGTTACGTGTGTGGGAAATGTTGCAATCTGGTGTTACGTGTGTGGGAAATGTTGCAATCTGGTGTTACGTGTGTGGGAAATGTTTCAATCTGGTGTTACGTGTGTGGGAAATGTTGCAATCTGGTGTTACGTGAGTGGGAAATGTTGCAATCTGGTGTTACGTGTGTGGGAAATGTTGCAATCTGGTGTTACGTGAGTGGGAAATGTTGCAATCTGGAGTTACGTGAGTGGGAAATGTTTCAATCTTACGTGTGTGGGAAATGTTGCAATCTGGAGTTACGTGTGTGGGAAATGTTTCAATCTGGAGTTACGTGAGTGGGAAATGAATCTGGAGTTACGTGAGTGGGGAAATGTTTCAATCTGGAGTTACTGGGAAATGTTACGTGAGTGGGAAATGTTTCAATCTGTTACGTGAGTGGGAAATGTGTTACGTGAGTGGGAATGTTTCAATCTGGTGTTACTGTGTGGAAATGTTGCAATCTGGTGTTACGTGTGTGGGAAATGTTGCAATCTGGTGTTACGTGTGTGGGAATGTTGCAATCTACGTGTGTGGGAAATGTTGCAATCTGGAGTTACGTGAGTGGGAAATGTTGCAATCTGGAGTTACGTGTGTGGGAAATGTTGCAATCTGGAGTTACGTGTGTGGGAAATGTTGCAATCTGGAGTTACGTGTGTGGGAAACCAATCTGGAGTTACGTGTGTGGGAAACGTTTCAATCTGGTGTTACGTGTGTGGGAAATGTTGCAATCTGGTGTTACGTGTGTGGGAAATGTTGCAATCTGGTGTTACGTGTGTGGGGAAATGTTGCAATCTGGTGTTACGTGTGTGGGAAATGTTGCAATCTGGTGTTACGTGTGTGGGGAATGTTTGCAATCTGGTGTTACGTGAGTGGGAAATGTTTCAATCTGTGTTACGTGTGTGGAAATGTTGCAATCTGGTGTTACGTGTGTGGGAAATGTTGCAATCTGGTGTTACGTGTGTGGGAATGTTGCAATCTGGTGTACGTGTGGGAAATGTTCAATCTGGTGTTACGTGTGGGAAATGTTGCAATCTGGTGTTACGTGTGTGGAAATGTTGCGATCTGGTGTTAAATGTTGCAATCTGGTGTTACGTGTGTGGGAAATGTTGCAATCTGGTGTTACGTGTGTGGGAAATGTTGCAATCTGGTGTTACGTGTGTGGGAAATGTTGCAATCTGGTGTTATGTGTGTGGGAAATGTTGCAATCTGGTGTTACGTGTGTGGGAAATGTTGCAATCTGTGTGGGAAAATCGTGTTAAATGTTGCAATCTGGTGTTACGTGTGTGGGAAATGTTGCGATCTGGTGTTACGTGTGTGGGAAATGTTATCTGGTGGTGTAATGTTGCAATCTGGTGTTACGTGTGTGGGAAAAAACATGTTGCGATCTGGTGTTACGTGTGTGGGAAATGTTGCAATCTGGTGTTACGTGTGTGGGAAATGTTTCAATCTGGTGTTACGTGTGTGGGAAATGTTGCAATCTGGTGTTACGTGTGTGGGAAATGTTGCAATCTGGTGTGTGTGGGCAATGTTGCAATCTGGTGTTACGTGTGTGGGAAATACTCTAACGTGAGGAAGAGGTCTTCAGTCCAGAGAAGAAAAAAGTGAAAAAACGTAGAATCATTCTCGACAGAAGAAACATGATCACCCAAACAGTGACGGAAAATGCACTCTTGCAATGGCAGTGTTGCGCATCAACAAGGATGACTCAGTTGAAATGGCAAGATACACGAGTAAACACGTTCACTTGTTATGAAAAGGTCCTTTTACTTTCTCTTGCATTGACTACTCTTTTTGCAACGTGGGTTCAACTGTGGAAAGGGAAAATAAGACTAGTGAAAATCCAATAAAACAGGAGAGGGCGACTAGAGGAAAAGGGAAAGAAAGAGAAAGGAGGGAGGAAGAGAGAGGGATGACGAAGGGAAAAAGAAGGACGAAGTGAAAGGGAAGACAAAGAGAAAGGAGAGACAAATAGAAAGGAAAGAGGAAGGGAAAGGAGTGATAAAGAGTGATGAAAGGAGAGAGCAAAAGTAAAGGGGAACGGAAAAGAAATGACTGAACTAAGTGCCATCGTCATGACGGTTGTTTTTCCAAGAGGTTTTCAGAAGCAAAGCGAATGAAAGAGAAGGTCTCCTTCGGCAGGAACACCGAGGCGAAGGAGGCGGCAGCGGAGGTGGTTGCCCCTGACCCTCGCTCCTCCGGCGCGCCAATAACACGGATTCTTGATCCCGAGCGCCTCCGCGTCTTCCGCCATCGTCCTGGGGATCTCTGGCGACTCGAGCGGGGCCGGCGGCAGCAGGTGTCGAGAGGGCGTCGATCCGTGCAAGAACAAATGCCAAGTTGAGATGAGTTTAAGAATACAAGAAAGAAAAAAAAAAATAATTGTCACGACGCCTTCCGAGCCATCACGAACGCCCCAATCTCCAAACGTTTGCCGCCTGACGTCACTCCCACTACGCCGTGACGTCATCGGATGGCCCGACGGCAACGTAACGAGGCGAGCTGAGACAGATCGCGCGGCCAGACGCAGCCGGGAGTTTCCAGCGAGTGCACCAACTCCAACACCTGAAGGAAAAAACACTCTAGAAGAAGTTAAGAAGAAGTTCAAGTGAAAACTTCTCTTCAGGAAAAAGGTGATTTGGTTCTTCTCCGAGAGTAGAAACACGCGGCTAGACTCCCGAAACAGCGCGACGGAGCGAACTCTCCTCTTCTGACGCAAAGTGCCCGTGAAGCTGTGCCGCCTTGCAGTCATGTCTCTCGCACTCCTGTTAGCCGTGACGCTCATTGCTCAGGTAAGTTTTATCACCGTAGTTCCAAGTACCTAAGCGACTGTAGCAGTGACATTATCAAGCACCTATACGACCCAAAATTCACTGTTACCATGACAACAAGTCTGGCGAAACCACCAGACGAACATAAACGTCAAGATGGAGCGATAAGGTTGAGGAACTGAGCTGACCCGACCTGCCCCTCGCCTGACGAAAGCTGGGTGCTGTTGGCCGAGAGGGAGGTCCTGTCGGTCGCGAGGGCCTAATGGGACGAGTTTGGAGGCAAGCGTGTTCCTTGTGTCTCATATTCGCTATTCTTTGAGAGTTGTGTCGGTCTCTTCCATTAGATTTGGAGTTTACGCTTTGTTTGTCTATCTGTCTATCGTACTGCTTCATCTGACTCCTTGTCACTCTTTTTATCTGTACATCCTTCTCTGTCTATATATTCCTTTAGCCCCTCTGTTTATCTGACTATGCATCTATCCTTCTGTCTACCCCTCTCTGTCCATTTTGTTATTAATCTCTATCTATTATTCAAACTATATATATATATATATATATATATATATATATATATATATATATATATATATATATATATATATATATATATATACATATATACATATACATACATATATATGTATGTATGTATGTATGTACGTGCATCATCTCCGATAGTATCCAGAACAGTAGATTCAACTTCAGATATCTATGTCTAAATCTGTCTATCTATCTGCATGTGCTTACAGAAGGCTTGTGGGTTACGTGCATACACAAACTCCGTGCATTATCGAGGACGAACTTTTTTTTTTTATTATATCCAATGATTTTGCGTCGTGCAGTGAAAAGACGCAGATCTTAAACATAAATTCGAGTTTTTTCTACTGATTTTTTTTTTTTTACGAGAATGCACCGTCACCATGAGAACTTAGAACATGCCAACACATTCTGAAACGATCAGCTGATTATATTTATTCGAGCTGAAGTATTCTTAAGAACCATTCTTAGCAAGTCTTCTTTTTTTGCTGCATGACCAACCTTAGCACGATTTGCACTGTTGTTAGAGCGGCCTATTGCAGCAATCGTGTGTGACCTGACTTGCACGATGGCTGTTGGGCCTAATACAGGGAGGTCATGCACAGGTGTAATATATGTCAATGCTGCTCCTCAAAAAATGATGCTATGCGGCGCTTGTACTAGGCTTGATTTGATTTTGAAAATAAGATGTTATTAACAGCAATGTTATCTATAGACATTGCCATACTATTGTTATGTTACTGCGTTAATAAGGGCTTGTTTTTGTATAGATTGGTAATTTTCGATGATTTTATGTTTCTTTTCTCTCTTTATCGTCATTTTGGTCTAACTACTAATTTTATTGTCTGGTTCTTATTCTATCTACCTATCTATGTGTATCTATCTGTTGATCTTGTTCTTGCCTTAGATTTTGTGGTTATTTTGAATTCTGAACTTTTCATTTTCATAGATGAAGAAAATGCTGTTGATTGAAGTCTTTTTTCAAGTAATTTGAAGTTCAGATTTGAAACTCAATATCAGGTGGAAGATACACGTACTGTGTTACACTGTAGTTTCCTTTATGTCTGGTAGCATGAATAAACACATCAATTAATTGTAAAAGACTGTATCTTCCTCAGCGCGACTCCAAAGCAAATAAACAGCACGAAACATGAAAATAATCAGAAAATGTTGAGTTAACCTTGACCTTGGTGTCAACAAGCCACGGCGGTTTATTATGTAAGGCCGAGCACACAACACCTTGGTCTTCGGGTTTCTCTTTGAGGGAACGGCCAGCCTTGCTCCTCGCGGCGTCTGCGTCACCGCGTCGATGTCAACTCTCTCCTCCCTGCGTCTGCGGCGTCGCCTTGATGCCACCAACTCCCCCCCCCCCTTCGTCTGCGTCTGAGCCAACGGCCTGACATCGAAATATCTCCCCGCTAAGTCTGGCTCAGGGGTCGTCTCGTCTTTCCTTTCCACTCCGTCACTCGGCGCAGAACGCAGCCGCCAAAGGGAGACCAGAGAAACCAAAGCGCGCCCGAGAGGCGAGCGCAGGCAGCGGAGCCGCGCTCGGGGGAGGAGGAGGAGGAGGAGGCGGAGGGGAAGCAGGAAGGAGGGCAGGCGTTCGCGGGGAAAGTGCTTGGGCGCGCGTTGCCTTGGCCGTGTTGCGCGCCGCCCTCCTTCCCGTGGGCACCGCCGGCCGCTCTCACTCGGCGTCTGGCCGGCGCACCTGTCGCGGGCGCCCGCCGTCTGGCCCGGCCGCTGCGCCCGCTCTTTCATTCGCCTTCCGCTGGCTGGCTGCCCGCTCTTCCAGCCGCTGTTATGGGCGCCGCGGTGTCTGCCCGGGGTCCTCGGACGCGTATTCCCCTGCTGGTCTTGGGTTAGCAGACTGACCTGCTTCTGCTCTGGGTCGCCGCCTCTCGCTTTTACGACCTGCTCGCTCCGGCTCGTCACGTGGCCTGTCCCATCTTGATCTCACCCGCAATACCAGTTCTAAGACGTATTCGTAGCTGTCAAACTTATTGCAGTGACTGACAGTCTTTTTTCCACTTTACGACGCCCAGTACTATATATCATATCAATAATCAGATGAAAAAATATTTATATCCAATTGCAAGCTTCTAATATTGCTTCTGTTACTACTGCTGTTACTGTCATTACTACTTCTACCACTATTACTATTGATGCTACTTCTACTACTATTGCTACAACTACTATTACTGTTATTACTACTTCTACCACAATTACTATTATTACTACTACTACTACTATTACTATTATTGGCAAAACTACTTCTACTATTACTACTACTAATACTATTATAGCTACTACTACTAGTATTATTATTATTATAGCTACTATTACTACTACTGCTGTTATCACTAGCACTACTACTGCTGTTACTAATACTGAATCTACTATTACTACTACTAGCACTACTACAATTACTACTGCTATCTCTGCTACTACTACTGTTACTACGACTACTTCTATTACCATTACTACTTCTGCCACTACTGCTACTACTACCATTACTACTACAAATACTGGCACTATTATTACTGCCGCTACCTCTAATAATACTATTACTCATACCACTAATTCTACTGCTGCTGCAGTTTCTTTTCCTCCTGCTGTTGATATTCCTTATGCTACTACTGCTGCTACTACTACCACTACAACTACTACTACAAATACTATTACTACTCCTTCTACTACTAACTACTTCTACTGCAATTACTGTTACTTCGGTTGCTACTACTGGTACGATTGTGCTGCTGTTTCAACTACTGGGCCTATCACTGCTAAAACTACTACTACTATTACTGCAATTGCTACTACTACCGCTACTACTACCACTGCTATACGTTATTCCCAACCACACCTTCCACCGTGCATTCAAATCCACCATTTCAACCGGAATTCCCACTCCAACGCCACCCACGACCACCACTACTTCCTCTCGGACTACGACCACGACTCCTCCAGACAGAGCTGAGGCAGGGACGACCTTGGCCACGACCCTGTCCTTCAGCGCTTCCTAGACGCAGCTCTTCCTTTCACTGCCTTCCCTCCCTGGGACCTTTTTAATCCCACCTGTGTGATCTCGACAGGGTCAGCATTGCTCTATCTGTTGGTACTGGCGTTGCTATTGTTGTTGTTCAGAGGTCTTGGTGTTGATTTTTTTTAATTATCGGTATTTGTGAGTTGGTGGTTATTGTTATTATTGTTATGGTGTCATTATTACTGTGTTGGTTTTGTGATTTATAGGTGGAGTTATTCTTATTATCGTTATTTCACCGTGATTATACTTATTATTCATATCAAATATCAGCTGTAGCAACAACAGTGCCATCATCATTATTGTTTTTTCTTATCATTATCATTATTATTGTTATTATTATTATTATCATCATTATCATCATCATTTTCATTATCATTAACATCATCATCAAGAGTCTTGTCCCTTTGCTTAGCTTTCACAAAGGCCAATTTATATACGACTTAATCAACCCGCATATATGACGAGAAGCAATAGATATAATTCCAACATTTAGATAAGTATTACCTTCTTATCTAGCAACCCAATCATCCCACGCCCTTCATCCCCACACCCACGACGCGCCTTAAACACCCTCACGCCCCAACCCTCGCCGCCCTTCCCTTGACGCCTGCCTCTTCTCCCTCCTCCAGGCGAGCTGCCACATGTCCCTGCAGGATCCCCCAGCGAGGAACGTCATGTGGAGGATGGGCTTCTCCGCCCTCCCTGAGCACCGGGACGACGACTACCTCATCTGCAACGAGAACGGAGGTCGTAAGTGCCCCCCTTGCGGTGACAGCATCGACAGCCCCCCGCCGCACCCTCACGAGGCCGGGGGGGTGTGGGCCACAGGCATCATCACCAGGACCTACAGCGAAGGAGAGGTGAGAGAGAGAGGAGGGGAAGGAGGGAAGGGGAGAGGGAGGGAGAAAGAGAGAGTATGAGGAGGAGGGAAGGGGAGAGGGAGAAAGAGAGAGGAGGAGGGAAGGGGAAGAGGGGGAGAAAGAGAGAGTATGAGTATGAAAGAGAGAGTATGAGGAGGAGGGAAGGGGAGAGGAAGGGAGAAAGAGAGAGTATGAGGAGGGAGAGGGATGGTGGAATAGAGAAATAGAGAGAGAGAGGGAGGAGGGAGGGAGAAAGAGAGAGAGAATATGAGAAGGCGGGAGAGGGATGGTAGAAAAGAGAGAAGAGAGGGGGGGAGGAGAAAGAGAGAGTATGAGAGGGAGAGGGGGTAGAAAAGAGAGAAAAGAGAAAGTGAGAGAAAGAGAGAGAGAGACTGGGTGGGGGTGGGAGGGAGGAAGAAATAGAGAGTATGATGAGGGAGAGGAATGGTGGAGAAGAGAGAGAGAGAGAAAAGAGAGAGAAGGAGAGAGAGAGAGAGAACAAATTAAAAATTGAAAATTAGAATTAGAAATCACAGAATAGGGTAAAAAAAAAATAATAATAACACCAAACAGAACCAAACTCGAAAAAAATCAGACAACCATCACACCTAAACCAACAACACAGAACACGCGGCCCTTAAACCCACCGTTCTCCTCTTCCACACGTCTCAGACCATCGAAGTCCACGTGAACGTCACCCGAAGCCACGGTGGATACGTTCAGCTGAAGCTCTGCCCGAACAACGACGTGAACGCCCCCGTGACCCAGAGCTGCCTTGACCAGTGAGTATCTGTCGGTGTTGGCTCTTGTGTTTGGATCTGATTTACATCACTGTTCTTTGTGGATTTGCTTGATGTTTTCTGAATTTCTGAAATGTTGATTTTATGTCTAGGTTATTGATATTAATTACTATGCCTGTATATGTCAGAAGTCGGTAAGTAGGCTTTGCCGTTACCACATGGCCAGAGCTTAGTACAATAAGGATATATAGGTAGAAAACCTGATATACATACACACACACATACATACACACACACACAAAAACACACACACATATATTTATATAGTTACGCATCTGTCATATCTACTTTGATCACTTAAGTCTTAAGATATGGGCTTAAACCAGCACCACAATAAGGATATATTGATGGAAAACATGAAATGACCTCAGAGGTACCCTGATTTAGATTATATCTAGTATTCATAATTATGAATCATATATTCTGTTTATATTGCTATATTAGGTAGTTTTAAGACACTGTTAGATAGTGTTATTGATTTATAGCCCATTAATCTGAATACTCTCTTTGACTAAAAGTAAATTATATACCTATTTGCTTTCCATTCCAGCTTTCCAAGTATCTTTACTTTTGCTTCTCTCTTAACCCTTTTAGTTTCCTTGTTTCTCTCTTCCATCCTTTATATCTCCTCATCCTTATGATTTATATTTTGATTTGTTATTATCTTCTCACTTTCACCTTCTAAACCCTTGCAACTCTTCCCCCGCCCCTATTGAAAATTATCTTTTCCTTTCACAATTTTTTTTCATCTATATAACCGTCATTATCACCGTCATCATCATTATTTTCATTGTTTTTATCTTTCTTTTACACTGGCTACCGTTCCATTTCTAAACTTCTTCTTTAAATGACTGAATCAAGAACTACCACAGACATTACTCTGTGGTAGTACTCGCCTCGGGTACCATTTGCAGATCGCCGGCCAGTGATACCATGAACTACTGA